AAATTAAACTTGTGTCTAAAGATAACAAACCCTGAACACCTCAAGACACTGAATTTTTCTTAAGAGGTGATTGGTCTTCTGAGAACCAGTCTAGTTTCGAAAAAGATTCATTGAACTATTATGGACTTTTTTAAAGTTTGAATTCGTAAGAACAGGATTGTAACAAATGTCCAAGTTGTAAAACAGGCAACTGAAGAAGCCAGATAGGCAGTATATTGTTAACATGGTGAAGTTTTATCTTCGCCTAGAGATAGCCCCGTGAATTATCAGTTTTGTCCCAATACCCAGCCGTTCCAATGTCGCCAATCTTTTCTGATTGTGTACTTTTGTAATTTTTATATTTTACTATTCAATTAAATTTGTAAACATCCATTCAAACTATGGTCCGTAGACTATTGGATATTTTAAGGTAATAGGATTTTTTAAATGAATAGTTTTTGGACTATGGTTTTTTTTATTGGCAACAGGATTTGTTAAATGAATAGTTTTTGGACTTTTTTTTATTTTTTTTATGGTCTCTTTGTTTACTCCACTCACCAACTGAAACCTTGATTCATATCTCCCACCTTTCTAATTATTTTATGTTTTGCGTTTAGCAGTTTATTTCTATACCGCACGTTACAACTAATTTAACTGAAAAAATCCAAATATTTCCAACGAGTAAAGCTTTAAGTAAAACTTGCATTGAGAAGAAACTGAGTGCTTCACAAATTGTGTCACCGATTAGTTAATTGTAATTGGAGTATTTTTGTGTTGAATCCAAACCATGACGTCGGCGTGTGGACATGTAAGCTGCAGTTTGTATAGTTGCTTTGTACCACTTTTCCTTGCCTGCACCATTGCTTATTACACAAAGGCGCGAATTTGTACGTGAAATAGTCCTCTACATTGAATAATACATACGACGTGCGTAACCTTCTTTTGAGATGGATATAAGGAACATTTTTTACTATATGTTTATGCCTTCGTTTTCTTAGTCATTTGAGTAAAACGTGTCTAATATTTTACGGTTGAAAAGAATTCATCTTGTGTTTTTGCTTGTGTCTAAATCAAACAAACTCGTCTTTTTTTGTATTAATTAAAAATGTCTGTTGACTGTTGCACTGCTACGATATGCACTTGATTTTGGTGACGTTTGATTGCGCTTATGTAAACTAAATGGTTTTTAAGGGTAGATTTTGTGATTTGTGGTTATATCATTGGCTACAATAACAAAAAACAGCAATATAGTCTACAAATATTTTGTTGTAATAGTTAAAAGGCCGGTTAGAAAACAATGTACAACCAACATAACACCGTCTCTATTAACTGGACAAAACTTAACTAAAATTTGTCTTCAACTGATCCATAAGATGATATGTAAATAAGTGTATTTTAATCATCAATTGAACCTGCAACGAGGCTTGGTTGCCCCGTGATAAAAAAAGTACAGCTAGATGTATTACCCTTCTTATACTACCGATTATATATATATATATAAAAAAAAAAAAAAAAAAAAAAACAGTTAGGCCTATAGATTTTGTAAACTTCTATTTAACTTTATATTAACGAATATATTGACTACTTAACTGTGAGTCTTGCTTAAAGCATTATTTATCAAATTAATTATTACAATACCATTTGTAACATTCTTGTGTTCTTAATTTCTCATGTATCATGAAAAGTGTGCGGATAATTATGGTAAACATAGTGCTACGGAGGGTCAGTTACTTATGATTTGTTTCTTAGTAAACCATTGAATGCAGAACTAAACCGTTTAAAACAAATTATTCTTGCGATTGAGGCGTACAGTAATTTGCATTAAAATAATCAGAATTCACGTTTGAGAACATGACTATGTTATTGCTAGCTCGCTAGTGAGTGACGGTTGTCTGTTAGTGGGGACGCCTGCAAAACAGGGACTGCAATATAGGTACACAAGCGCCGCGGGAAGCATCTATCCGTTCGAAGGCAGTCAATGGGACCAGTAACAGTTTTAAACGATTTATCTTGTCAATTACTGTATGAGTAATCATTAAATTGTTATTCAAAAAAATTGTATATGGAAAAGGCACATCGAATCACAGATGCAGATGAGGTTTAGGCACAAAAATAACACGTACCTATTCAATATTAATTTCATATAAAGCAATCCTTTTATGGGCCTTGGATGTTTCCTATGAGAAACATCCAATCACAATAAGGTAGACTAATTTTCCCTTCAATTTTAATTAATAGGTACAGTATAAACATTGTCATTGAATCTTGAAGTATGTTATGTGTTTTATTTACCAGACCAAGCTAAAGCCAATTGTATGTTTAGAAGAAAAAGATAGTTGAATGTGAAAAGTTGGGTTGCTACAATTGTAGTCTAGATCCATTCTCTATTTTAGTTTCACATTTTATGATTTTTGATAATGACATGAAATATGCTGTAGACCATTTTAATAAGTTTAACCATTGACTATGATTGAACATTCTCTTGGGTAGCCTATGATTTGGTGTTATATTCTCCAGAGCTCATAACTTACTGTAAATTTCATAATACAGTACCTGAAAGTTGCCTAAAGAGGTACCATGTACCTTTATAACAAATGTTTTACAATTAAATCTTCTCTGAGAAACAATTGTTATTACGAAGTTAGGGAATTCATGAAACTTGTCGACTGCCGCCCTTAATTTGTGGCTTTTTGAGTAAAGTAGGCAAATTTTCCCTTCCTCTTGCTGATGGGAAATGCATTTGTGTAAAATATTTTCTAGTAATTAAAGAATCTGGCTACATATTTTACTTGGAATTCTTTAAATGTTTATTGCACAGAAGTGTCTGTGGTAAATGTTTGAACCCTGCTTTATTAATGTGTCACAGTCACAAAGAGTTGGCTTACCGTAAAACTTGGGTTGGATTAGAGTTGTGATGCAAGTTGTTGGTGACATGATTTGTGAAGATGTCGCTGTCACACCACAGTTTAAACTTTACACCTTTGCAGTCACAGCTGATACACGAACTAAAACACGAAACAGTTTGAAACATGCCATTGTTGTTGCTTCTTTAACTTTTATTACTTCACTAGCAGTAGTTGCTTCAGTTGCCAACAAAATAGTTTAAATTATGTAACTGCTTAATATCAATATCAATTATTTAAGATTGGGACGCCACTATGTGCGTATTTTAACCCAAATATGAGTGAAGGATGAGTGTTGGATGAGTGGCGTGATCTTGTAGTCTTGTTAGTGACTAAGGCCGATATGTTCCTTAGACACAGCTGTTAATTAATAGCCCATACAGCTAATGGCAACTAAGGGACCTACAGTTTATAGTGGAATCCGAACCACATTTTTCCTTGTAATTTACGAATCGGTCTAATTATCAGGATAGTACTGCGGATAGTCGTAGTACTGACTAGTGCGGACGTTAATCCACACCAGGGAGCATCGCATCCACAGTGCATCCCTATAAATATCCACAATTCGTGACCTCCTAGTAGCAGGATTACAGGACGACGCCACCCGTCCCAGTATGAATAAAAATTGCATTCAAGATAATAGCAAATCTAATTTTCATAATATTTTATGAACTAATATTGACTCATTTGGGTTTTAGGTCTTTTTATCATAGTCAGATTCGAGCCAAATGGCATGAGATTTTTTGCTTTTCCAACTCTATTTAGCTCTATATCAGCATTCTTTGTGTGGACAATCCAATCAGTCAGATATGATTCGTTGTATCGAGAGGAGAAACAAGACTGAAATTCAGAACAATATTAAGCTACGAATAACTGGAATTTAGTTTATAACTAACTAGCTGTACCCGCGGGCTTTGCCCCGTTTAACTTCATAAGTGAGCTCGTTTGCATGCCTCAATCACGTCCTGGTTGAAGTTCGTTCGCTACGCTCACTCACTTTTAGGTTGGAGCTTGTTCGCTGCGCTCACTTGCCTTCAGGTTAGCTCGTTCGCTACGCAAACTCGCCTCCAAGTTGAAGTTCGTTCGCTACGCTCACTCACCTTTTGGTTGCAAATTAGCTGTTGTCATAAATGTAAAAGAAATAATAGTGCTGCATCCTGTTGGTAATCCTTGTAACTTTAATGCTATTGAACATCATAGAACAGAACCATCATGTTTAATTGAAACAGCTGTTAAGATTCATTAATTCCATTTAAATATGAGAACTCATAAGGTTAACATGGGAAACTCCAGAGCCACTGGGGCGGAGCCCGAGAGTCCGATCAGAATAAAAACAGCTTAGTTTTCCTATTTAATGCCTAAAGAATCGGTGTACCAAATTTCAGCCTCCTAGGTAAATGGGAAGTGGGAGAATTAGTGATGAGTGAGTGAGTGAGTGAGTCAGTGAGGGCTTTGCCTTTTATATATATAGATACTCCACTTTAAAAAAAAGCAAAAACTAATAATAAACTTACTAAGATTGGATTGGTAATAAGATTGGAATGTAGCATTGAGGTTTTCAAATTCTATCCAAAATATCTTCTTGATAAGCATTATATACGATTTAATCAATATTAATATGTTAAATATTTTATAATGGTGGTCTAGGCTATTTAAACCACTGACTGTACCAATCATCAGGCTAAATCACTGAATCAGAGATTAATAATGATAAATTACTTTCCGATTAGGCCAGATGATGACCTGATGATTGGTTGACTGATCGTAATTTCTTAATTATAATTACGGCTTGTACATTTTTACAGTGTAGTAGTCCTTAAAATTGCTTTGCACTAGAACATACTGTTTCTACAGGCTGAGGATGGTATGGTACAAAATTGGTGTAGAAACTAGTTGTAAGAAGAATTTTCCAGCATTACGTTAGTAACACCATTTTTTCATATTTATTAGTAAACCAAAGGCTGTAACACCATCTTGAAGTGTAAGTGTATATAAACATATGTATTGGAAAGTGTTAAAATTAATTTTGTCATGTTAGTATAAAGTCCATCATTGAATTTCACTCAATCATCAACAATCAGTCATTTACAGCTACTGACTTGTCTCCGTCTGTTGCAGAACCTTCAGGTTGGGTGAGATGCTATGACGGAGGTTCCTCTCAGCAGCCACGGTGGCGGTCAAGCCTGGAATGTTGACTCGTCGCAACTGGGTGTTGCGCACCAGCATCGTCCTCAACATCGTAGTGCTGCTGTACGTCGGCACTCACGTGGCCTCCAGGTAAACTGCCATTCAGTGAAAAGTCATAGTCATTTGGCCAGATTTTGATACAGTAGAATTTGCGAGTGGTATTAATACTGAAATACTGTATTGTGAAACAATCTTTAAAAAAGTTTAGTGGATAAAATGTATGTTTATTCGTTTTTAAATCAAACACTTTCATTCAATTTTTGTGTTTTATTTAGTGATGCATACCATACAAAAAAGGTGATGTAGGGTGTTATAGAGGTTCTGAGTTACTTAATTTTTAGATGAAATGTTAGTTATTGTGTTGATAGAATTTTCATATTATGGAGGTTTATTTAACATTATATGCTGTGGAGTTCTGGCGGGGATTTTAACAGTACACTTTCAATTTATCGTGTTATTGAGGAACCTTTTTAACAAGGTTTTACTGTGGGAAAGTGTGTTGGTTATATTATTGACTTTTTGATGCTGATATCACATTCATATAGATCAGTTAGTTGTAGCCAATTTTTTATTCAAACAGAGCGTAGTTAAAAGAGGTACTCACATAGTGTGCTGCAATCTAAATTGTATTTTCTCCCTTTGTTATGTCCCTTGTGGTGTGGGACAAAAAACAAAAGGAATTATTAAATCTTATTGGTAACGGAAATGGACTTAAGAAGTTCTTGGAATTATTTTAAAAGTTAATACAATAGCTTTTATTAACAACAAGAAATATATTTCATTGTGATTTAGCCTCCGGATAACCAATATTTCAATAAAGTGGTTAAAATACATGCATAAAAGTTATCCACAATGTTGCTCACGGCAACCGGTTTCAATCCACAATAGGGATCATCATCAGGCCGATCAGGATGTCAAAACATTTTCTCTCTTCTTGCGAAGGTCGTCAAAAGGCGTAAAAAACATGCACATATAGTCACAAACACAAAACACGGACATTTAACATTGAAGACACGGTCGAAATTATTGCTACGACTCATCCCCGGCGAAGGTATAGTCTAGACTGCCGGTGGTCAGTGAAATCCAGTCGTACAATCCTTATCAGCTGTTTCATTGAGGTCTACCCACCCCCTCCATCCACACCCTTCAATACCTTGATTGCAGTGTCATAAATATAATTAGACGAAAATGACAGCTTGTCGTTCAGGACGTTCTGATGATCCGATTTTACAGCTTTATATATTTCAAATTCTTCTAATGTGCTTGTCTGGGATCTGTCTTTTGAGGAGTGTAAAATATGCATATTTCTGTGTATATCTGAATAATTATGGTTATTTGAAACGAGGTGGTCAGCAAAAGCAGATGTCTGGGTTATGGTTTTCTTGGGCAAATGTTCCTTGAATCTCTTTTTAAAGGAGCGAGAAGTCTGACCGATATAGTACTTTTCTCAATCGGTGCATGAAAGACGGTAAACTCCAGTTTTCTCATATTCTGGAGTTGAAGTTTGGGGTCGCTCTTTCAATAAAGTTCCAAGATTGTTAGTAGTCCTGAACGAAACTGTGATATTATCTTTGGCTAAAAGGTTCTTAAATTTATTGCTTAGAAAATAACCATATTTAGCTGATAAGAATGTTTTGGGAGCTTTTGTTTCGTTTCCATTCGAGTTTTTATTTCTATGTTTGTAAATCAGATTATCAATAATTGAGCTTCTGTACCCATTAGCGATGGTTATATATTTTACACATATATATTTGTATACAAATGTGCCTATTCAGGAAACAATAGAACTCTTACACCAAAACCTTATTAAGAACTCGAAACTATCTAGAGAGGCAATTGAGGAACTGATCTCTCTTATAACCATTATCCTCAAGCAAAATTATTTCCGATTTCAAAATGAATTCTACATGCAGAAAGATGGGCTACCTATGGGCTCCCCCTCTCTCTGGAATATTGGCTGAAATTTTCTTAAACCATCTTGAAAATAAATATTTGTTCTCAGAAGTGAACCGGCACAGAAATAAAATTCTGTTTTATTATAGGTATGTGGATGATACCATAGTTTTATTTAACGGTAATGACAGGCAATTATGTATGTTAAACACATATTTATGTAACATGCATAAAAACATCAACTTTACATTAGAGAAGGAGGAAAACAATAGATTAAATTTTCTGGACCTCACCATAACAAAAAACAATGGTACCTTACAATTTAAAATATACCGTAAACCTACTTATACCGACCAAACAATCCATGCTGAATCACACCATCCTCACACACAAAAATTAGCAGCATACAATAGTTTTGTCCACAGGTTATTAACAGTCCCCATGAATCAGAGTGACTATGAAGATGAAGTTAACATATTAAAATATATAGCCATCGCTAATGGGTACAGAAGCTCAATTATTGATAATCTGATTTACAAACATAGAAATAAAAACTCGAATGGAAACGAAACAAAAGCTCCCAAAACATTCTTATCAGCTAAATATGGTTATTTTCTAAGCAATAAATTTAAGAACCTTTTAGCCAAAGATAATATCACAGTTTCGTTCAGGACTACTAACAATCTTGGAACTTTATTGAAAGAGCGACCCCAAACTTCAACTCCAGAATATGAGAAAACTGGAGTTTACCGTCTTTCATGCACCGATTGTGAAAAGTACTATATCGGTCAGACTTCTCGCTCCTTTAAAAAGAGATTCAAGGAACATTTGCCCAAGAAAACCATAACCCAGACATCTGCTTTTGCTGACCACCTCGTTTCAAATAACCATAATTATTCAGATATACACAGAAATATGCATATTTTACACTCCTCAAAAGACAGATCCCAGACAAGCACATTAGAAGAATTTGAAATATATAAAGCTGTAAAATCGGATCATCAGAACGTCCTGAACGACAAGCTGTCATTTTCGTCTAATTATATTTATGACACTGCAATCAAGGTATTGAAGGGTGTGGATGGAGGGGGTGGGTAGACCTCAATGAAACAGCTGATAAGGATTGTACGACTGGATTTCACTGACCACCGGCAGTCTAGACTATACCTTCGCCGGGGATGAGTCGTAGCAATAATTTCGACCGTGTCTTCAATGTTAAATGTCCGTGTTTTGTGTTTGTGACTATATGTGCATGTTTTTTACGCCTTTTGACGACCTTCGCAAGAAGAGAGAAAATGTTTTGACATCCTGATCGGCCTGATGATGATCCCTATTGTGGATTGAAACCGGTTGCCGTGAGCAACATTGTGGATAACTTTTATGCAGGTATTTAAACAACTTTAAAGAAATATATGTTAAAATTATCAAAATGCAAAGATATATGCAGAATGGACATTTTTGCTAAGTAGTAAACTTCGCATGACGGATCAATATACTTTGTATGCATTCTAATATCACTTTAGCTGGATTCTGCTTGTACAAGAAGCTCATTTTTCAACTCCTCGACCTAATGGTAGTCTTGATAAATGATGTAGGACTTTGTTCAAAAGCAAAATCGAGCATCAATGTGATGGATCAAAACTTTATGATAAACAAATAAACATCACTTACAGAGTATTTATAAACTAATGTTACATCACTATTTTTAATTGAAAACATTTTGTATTGGCGGTGTTCTCAGAGATAAGTTTACTTCATCTTAAATGTTTTACTAATTATTTACTGAACACATAATTCAGACAGAATTACAATTAATAGTAGTGATTTACTTCTGCAACAGCAATAGTTTCGGAATTACTGGTTTTTAAAGTCATAGGCTACTCCACAATGAACAGAACATAAATTTTCTTCATCTTTTACCTATGACAGTCCCTGAATTGCAGTGTTGTGGCAGGTTTGATTAGACAACTGTTTGTATTAGCAGTTTGACTCCTTGGCAGTATTGTAATATTGTGGCAGGTTTAGGGGTGGTTTAGCAGGTGGGCCAGACGGGTGGGCCTACTCAGTTTTTAGACAGGATGTCCAGCCCACCAAGGGATAGGGTGAACCGAGAATTGTACCAGAATTTTGATTTCCAAATAAAACATGGGACCAGGAAATTGGGAATAATTCCTGATGGATTATGGCTGATTACCCATAATCCACAGCAGTTAACAGTGTGATATGGGTATTACTGTGTTGGCATACAGGATGGTCAGAAAGCCATGGAAATTCCAACGAGAGGATGTCAAAACTTCAGGGTAAAATAGAAAACGAATGTATCAGCACCAAATTGTACATTTAAGAGTCTTCAATGGATTTAAGTTAACTTAAAATTAAAAAAATATTTTAATACAAACATTTTTATGTGTTAATTTTTGTGAATGCAGTCATGGTTGTTAGTTCCAGCCCATCGCCATTATGTCTCCACTCGTTCTGGGATCATACATTATGTTGTAATGTTAGCAGGAATGGAGGGCTGGACATGTTGGAGGAGCTCCAGGCTGGCGGACGACAGTTAGCGTCCCTGGATGTAGTCCCGGACTCTGGACCTCCGGGCTCAGATAACCCTGACGTCGGCTCCCCTCCACACACCCATACTGCTGCTCTAGTACAGGGTGAGTCCAAACTGCTCATTGCTATCCTTCACAAGATATCGGGACTATAACTTCTCAGGTAGCACAGTTTAGTAAAAGATGAGTGAAGGATGCGTTGAGTAGATGAGGTTATAGCTTTGTTACATACTCAGCGGGTTATTCTAGATCACTTTATAAAAAAAAGATGAATGATCAAAAGTCTGAAATATAAAAAGCTATGAGTTTTTCAGAATTGAACCAGCATCCTTCTAAATAGTAGGCAAACGCTAAAAATACTCAGCTATCCAGCTTAAGGTTTCTAGTTTAAGAAAAAATAGAAATACTCGTATATAAATTGTTTATGTGTTAAAGAAGTACAACCCTATTCTACTGGTTACTGTGCCTCTATACCAAATTTAGAAGTTGTCAGTACAATATTGAGAATGATAGATTTTGGACCCAACCACCATTTGTCATTGGCTAATTAATGATGCTTTCTCACAGCATTTCCATTTTGGATACTAACAAGGGCATTGTTTAGAAGATTCCCTCTTTGAAAACTCTACAAAACTCTACAAAGTCGCAAATAGCCTAATAGTTGTTGGTGAAGTTAACTACAATTTTTTACAAAACTACATTGCAATGTTTGATGCCAGGTACTACGTCTCCTCCCGGACGTCAGAGCACCACTGTGGCCACCTCAACAGAACATAAAGAGGTAAACTGCTCTAATATCAGTCATGTTAAGAATGTACGCTAAATATCTGTGGTTTGTTATTATTATTTTTATTTTTGTCCAATATGAATTAGAACAAAAAATTTGTAGTTGTAATAGGATCATCATTGATTTAGTAATAAGAGTTTCAACCAATAAAGTTGTCATGTCAAGTAGTCATATAGTCTGTACGATAAACCCGGTCTCCTGACCCTTCATATACTTGGATACTGGCCTGGGCCTTGGCATTGGCTAGTCCTCAAGTAGATGAAGGGTCAGGAGCCAGGTTACATCATACAGACTTTAGTAAAAACATAGATAAATCAAACCAAGCTTATCACAGTTGATCAAGTAAATTTAGTGAATTTGTTAATAGGTGCGGTATCATAACAAAGTCTGAGACACTAGCCACTAAGCTAACAACACTGTCCAAATCATCGACACATAATTTACTTCATCTATGTGAAACGTAGAGTGATTTAACAGATTGTTTACCCCACAAATTATAATATGGCCACAACCATTGACTAAGTCCACGTTTTCGTTCAGTCGGTATGAACTCTGTGAATGTGTAGGTGAGCAGCACAGAAGGTATGGAGTCCCAGCGGTCGCTGGCAGACATCATAGGTTGTGTGGACCGTACACCGGAGCCTCGTACAGAGATGAGAGGGGACTACTGGGTTTTGTACAACTACGTACCAGCCTCGCGACAGTTCCATTGCTGGGAGAGCATCACCTACACCACACACGCTGACTTCACCTTCCTGGACAACCTGGAGGTGAGACAACAGAACATATCTTAGTGCAAGTAATACAAAAGTTTTATTTAATAACTCTATCGGATATATTGAATTACAAGTAATTTACCTTTGATAAAACTTTGTTAAGTTAATTTTTTAAATGCTGATTTGGTCAAACAACATTTGGGCATGTTTCGAAATTATGTTAAACCTTTTCTGAAGAAATGAGATTAGGTTATCAGGATTCTTGGTGTGTGAGAGATTAGTTAATTAATATGTTGGAATTCTTGAGCCATAGGAGTAAAGAGTTCTAATGTTTACTGTCATCATAGTGGAGCGCTCATAAGTCATGTACTATAAAATTAGAGTTTTAGCAACTAGCAATAACAATAATAAAAAATAATACCCCCGCCGCAGCAAACCTGCCGACTAAGCGAATTTCCATTTGTCTGAATTGATATTCAGTTAAATATATTTTAATAACATTAGGTTTAACGAGTTCCTAGGTTTGCTGCTACAAGAAAACTAATAAAGTGTGTTTTTGAGTAAAATATTGATAGCTTAGTACAAAATAAATAAATTTGCCAAGTTTGATCAAAATATATCCATAAACAAGCAAACTACAACATTTGACAATATTCTCCATAAGAATAACATGGGAATTTTAAATTTACAATTTTTTTAATTTTCTCCGTTACTAATAATCGAACAAAAATACTTTTATATACTAAATTATTTGTTTTTTTAAGCTCTTTAAAAAAATTTAAAGAGAAATCGGGAAATTTTGTGTTTTGAGGGTCAAAAGTGAGAAAAACCAATTTTTACCCCATAAAACCCCCCGTAAAGCCCCGTTACCATGGTCCGATCGTGCTGGTTCGCGAACTCATTCAAGTTTATCCCGCTTTACACCTTTAAACCAAATTTCATAAAAATCGGACAAAAATTACTCAAGTTATCGCGTTCACGTACATATATAAATGTACGTATATAGCTATACATATATAAAAATTTGAACGAATGGTGTTTTTGGCCTCTGGGGACATCAAAATGAAAAAGTAAATTGGTCCCGGGTCTAGGTCTTACCGTGCCACCTACGGTAATAGCTACTTCCCTATAGGGAAATTCGCTAAAAGAGGGCCTGGGAATAGCTCCTACACTTAATTTATTATAACTCTTTACTACTATAGGCCTTCGCCATACAAAAGTCATAATTCTTATTATTAATTCAAAATACCAATCTATAAAAAACATTAAGTTGCTAAAATAACTTAAATGTGCCTTCATGAGGGTTGTGAGGACAGTTGTTGACGCAACCCGTATGACTATGTCTATCTATCTACCATAAAATCTGTGCTGAATGATGATAAACGTGGAATGGAATTTAGCTGGTTCTCTGTATAACTGTGTTGTTATTTGACAGACGCTGCTGGAGCGATGGCAAGGACCGATCTCGCTGGCGCTGCACGCCCCCGGTACAGACCTCACCCCTACTCTGGACACCATCCGCTACCTCCACGAGTGCACGTCGGCACCAGTCTCTGAATACGTAACTTTCCATGTTTACTTCCCGAGCAAACATGTGCCCAAACAAGTTCCTCACTTAGATAAAATATTTAGCGAACACTTTAACTGCTCCAAGCCACCGCCTTGGACGGCAATTCCGGCCAATACGATATACAAAGCTCAAAAGAAACTTTTATACCCGGTGAACGTGGGCAGGAACATTGCGCGTGAGAGTGCGGTTACTCACTATATCCTGCCGAGCGACATCGAGCTCTACCCTAGTCCCGGTGTGATCCCAGACTTCCTGGAGATGATCAGGAGGCAGGATCCCCCTCTGCTGCGGCAACGACCCAAAGTCTTTCCACTCTCCATCTTCGAATTGGAGTCCAACATGAGCCTTCCAGTAAATAAAAGTGACTTGGTGAGTTTGTACGTTTGTGTGGAAGGTTGCCTGCCTCACAAGTTTATAAAAGTAAATGTAATGTATATGTTTATTCCATCATTCGTGTCTGTTATTGTACTCTTTCCGATACTTTTTATAATAAACTTTTACATATTATGATATGTATCACTTACATCATTTGTATGAAATGGGGACGCTACTAGGGCATATTTTAACCAATGTGTGGAAGATAAGTGGATTGTGGGATAAACGAGACACCTTATGTAGCTTTTTTACTGCCTGAGATCAGCTGTTTCAGTAAGAGGCTGGCCTTGAAGAGATTTGCTCTGTAAGTCGAACTTTGGAACAATGGTTTAACTCAGTTGACAAAGAAATTAAAGTTCTTATAATACCCCAAGTCTCTAAACACTGGAATGGGGAAAAGTATATTTACCGTTAGTATACTTAGAGCTTACAAAATAATATATCTTCACACTCAGAAACTGTAAAAAAGACTTAAAATGATATTTAATAGCTATTTTTAATCAATCTTGTCCTCTATGGTACATCCATTTACGTATGAATTTAGAAACAGCATTTACTCAAATGAATTGTAATATAGGTCTCCATGTTGAAAAATGGATCGGCCATTCCATTTCACAAGAAGGTCTGCCCAGGGTGCCATAACGTGCCCAAGTCTAAGGAATGGATGAACACTCCTGCCAGTGACGGCCTCAGGGTCTTCCACATCGGGAAGCGGACAGGCTACTTTGTACATTGGGAGCCGATCTTCATCGGAACTCACCAAGACCCACTGTACGATGAGAGGCTCAGTTGGGAGGGCAAGAGTGACAAGATGACTCAAGTATGTTCAGGAATATTCTCATCTTTCATATAACTGCCTCCATTTGGTTCACTCGTTGACTATCTCATCCTAGCTGTAGTTCATGTACCAGCAGTAACAAACTTTTATAAAAAAAGATAAAAGATCGTAGTAGAATGAGCCACTTGTAGAGAATTGATTTTCTCCTTTAGTTTTTGATTCTTTAATAATTTAGACTTAAAATATTATGTATTACACATTGAAGATTTCTTTTTGCTTTAGCTTGGTGAACAAGTCAATGTATGTATACACAGAAATCAGTAATTTATTTTAGATTAGAACACTATGTGGCTGGCCCAATTGAACTGTGTGGCTGTGTCCATTAACATTGTACGAGGGCTATTCAGAAAGTAAGAAACGTTCATTCTGAATCCGCTAAGCGCGCACCGATCTCGTACATTTTGGTGCGTGCATACTCGGCAACTCAGTCGGCATCCAGCCGTGACAACGGGTTCATCCTAGCGCTGCCCATTTGTTTGTAATTTTAGTTTAAGATATGCATTGCGATTGAAAATGCCGCCAGTTGTGAGGTGCGGTCAGTGATACAGTTTTTGTTGCCAACAAACTTAAAACCGATTGACATTTATTGCTAAGTGTGTGAAGTTTATGGAAAATGAATTAATGTTCTTTGCAAAAATGGTGCATTCAGTTTTAAAATGGCCAAACTCATGGTTCATGAGTCATGACGAAACCTTTGACTATCAATACAACTAGACATTCCATACCCATGTTAAATTTGTAGCCAGCTTTTTATTAAAATTGTAGTTGAGATGAAACTAAGGGCGGACGCCTGAGCTTTCTTACTGATGGAACTGGTCGCTAGCTAAAACCACCAATTCACGATAACGAATCAGCTAAACTATGTGTGACAATTTCAAACAACAAAGTCCATGAAACTTGAGGGAAACAAAGCAATCATCAGTTTTCAGTAGGTGGAACAAATTTCAAAATATGACCTTATTTTAAAGGTATTTGAAAAGAAAGTTTTTTCGTTAAGATAAAAACTGACAATATAAAATAGTGCTCAAATTTCTATATGTTTATTAACGTAATTTAATTTATAAAATATGGTTATAATGTTGTGCGTCAAAGACTACAGACAATTTTTATGCCGTTTCTGACTTTTTCACTCTGTTTCAGGGCTACGTCTTATGTGTGTTAGACTATGAGTTTCAAATCCTAGACAATGCGTTCCTCGTACACAAACCCGGGATCAAGACACTGAAGAAGGATCCTGCAAGAGCGCTTTTAGCAGGAAAGACCAACTCCCTCATCCGCAAAATCATCTTCCCCGAACTTCGAGTTCTATTTGGAGTAAGAAAAGGTTGCGCCGTCTGACAGTCGTATTTTTCTCCTATGTTTCCGCATTTCCTGTTCAGGTATTAATTTCATCTTATTTTTTTTTAAGCAAAATAATCTGTGTCTTAATGGAAAGTTTGATATTTTTTACACAAAGTTAACCACCCAAAACCTCTGTTTTTATTAGTGATTTCAAACTTTGTTCTTTCAGAGATTCTATAAACTTTCTTTTTAGAGGTTCTATAAACACTGTTAAAACATTTGTTAATCAATGATTTTTACACTTATTTAAATCTTTCTCCACAATTTATTTATTTATTTATTTATTGCTCTTGACAATTTCTACATTGTGTAGCATGTTATTCTAATATTTATAATTACATAGAGGTTTTTTTCAAATTACACTTTAAATAAAAATTAACTTCAAACAAATAAATCAATACATTAAAGAAACGGAGGAAAACTAAAAAATTGTACATTTATCAGGAAAGCCTTCAAACATTCAACTCTTAACCCCTGGGGAATATAATACTGTGGCCCTTAACTCCAATGGTGCGCAGAACTCATCAACCGAATAGAACGCCTGATTTTTCAAGTTACGCTTCAGTTTTGTTTTGAATAGACGGGAACTTTCCAGACTTTTAAGCCTTTCAGGAATACAGTGTACGTAGGCCTGTGGTTTTGGCACATTATGGAAGGCACAGTGTAACATAAATCTATTTAGTAGGGTTTGCAAAATTGAATTAATTCATTTATTCAATTAAATATATTAAACTATTTATTGATAGCAGAGAGAAGAAAAATATTCTAAAACATATTTGAAATCTTAACGTATGAAAGCAATTAATTAATTAGAGAATTAGCCATTTTCGGACATATGATCCTACATTAAAGCCAAAATCAATTTCAAGATAGTCTATAAAATCCCACACGAAATGATCAGCATTTAAAAAACGTTTAGAAACACAAGGCATGCCATACTGAAATTTATAAACAAACTGTTGCATAACTCTACATGTGTACAGACAGATTTTCTCAATTGGCGTTAACTGGTGTACACCACCACTACAATACCAGAAACAAAACCAACATTGCTTTAAACCGCCACAGATTAGAACTTTACAGTAAAAAACCAAGTTATACCGGCTCCAAATTTTAAAAAAAAATTCCAAATGAAATTAAATCGGCAAAAAGCATGGTGGGATTTAAGAGGGGTCTTAAAACATTTCTCATCAACAAGGTATTGTATTCCCTTGATGAACTTTAAAATTTTAGAAGGAGCGTTAATTTTTAATTTGTATAAACTTATGTTAGATTTTAAGAACTTTGTATCTATTGAATGTAAGAACATTGTAATATAAAAACATGTAAGAGAATGACACTATTCATGTACTTTGTTCTTTAATGAATAAAGAAATATTGAATTGAATTGAATTTATGTGTGTGTTTTATTCAGATGACGAGAACAGGGGTGTGGAGTCGGCTACATGTGCGAGGATTGGCTACCCGCACCAGCTGACACCAACTCACCGTGGGACAAATACAGGATCGGACCATTGTGAGCGGACAAACAAAGTGTCTTAATAGCTTAAAGCCATTTTTGTGATTTATATTTTAGTATACTCTATAGCCTGATGTGAATGTTGTGGATGGAGTCGTAAGATACGGTTGTTTACTGAGCATATCTGGTTTGGTCAAAGACCAAAATTACTATTAGGTGGAAAACTTGTCAATGTTTAGGCTACTTTTGCTGCAGACCATGACGTGATAAAAGACCACTTTTACTTTTAATAGTTGTGATGATGTTTTTTTAATGTGGTTGGTTGATGATGTAAAAAAAACCTACTTAGAGTTCCATTGTTAGAAAAAGTATTCTTTTTACCAGCAGTTTTGCAGTAGAGTTTTTTATACGGAAGTCTATTTGAAAATGTAGTACAGGTAAAGAAAATGATGTGTGTTCAGAATCAAAATATTCCGATCCATTTTACTGGCACAATTAGTTTCTGTGTACCAATCTAAGTTCGTGAAATTTTTCATTTAAAAACCAATATTTACTATAATGTAAAATTTAAATTTTATAGCAACCTATAAATGGATTATGCTATTATCTGTGAAGGGAGGGATTCATTGTTTAACATGTTATTTAAAAACAAATCTATAACCAGTATATATTTTTGTAGACATAGGCTACATTTCATAGTTGGTGGATCTTTGTCACACTTTTGTGTTTTTCGGCCGATTTGTTTTGCTTACTTTCAAGTTTTTTCATAGGTTTTAAAATATACTAGTGGTCAAGAAAAATTAGTGTTTTAATATTTTGTATTGGTTTTTGCCAAATTTTAATTACGTCGAAACTGACACAGTGAAATGGACACTTAAAATGTGTCTTCAAAAACACTTAAAATGTTTAGTAGTTACAAAAAAGTCAACAAAAATGTCTTAAATTAATGTTTTCCCTTGTAAGAGTTTGAATCAAAATTACTCCAGCCAATAAACTAACGTCAGTTTATATTGTTCAAAATTTGTAAAATAATAATTCTTATTTCCTGAACTTGGATTGGAACCTGAAAACAACGGGCCTGCTTGTTGCACTGTAAAAGTCCATGTAGAACATCAATTATCAATCAAATGTGTGCCTTATTTGTCTTACTGCTAGTCCTGATGTGAGATTTGTGTTTCTCTCTTACTGTATGCTGATCCTATAACATAGTCATTTTTAGATTAGTATTTTAGCATCAGGGTTTACTATCGTACTTGTAGTACATTTTTGTGCTTTGAAAACCATTCTATTTGCAGCAATCCACAGATTTAAAAGTTAAAATTTGAAGCTTATAATACGCTTGGAAAAAAACTAGTTTTTTTCACGAGACAAAACTTTGAAATAAGAAACATTTTGTATATTTTGCAAATAGAATACATCTTAACTAAGTATTATATTTATAGTTTATATTCGCTTACAACTGTTATTTATTATAGAATTATGTCGATAAGTAATCAGTGGTACTAGTAAAAATTTCCATCCTGCATTTAAGTATGGTGAAGTTAGGCTTTTTATAGATTTGTAAATAATCTTGTAAATTGTTTTTATATTTATACCTGCAGATATTTTTATGGTTTGAAATGTATATAATATTTGAAGTATACTGAGATTGTGCAAAACGAGTCCATTACAGTTGTAAGGTTAGCTATTTTGTAAATACTGTTTTGCAATTGTAAGCTGTCCGAGAATGTGTTAACAGTGGTAAGCCTATTTTCTTAAGACAATGAAAAGTGATAAAGCTTGTTTTATTTAGTTCAATATAACTTTTTGTATTTTAAAACTGTTCATGTGTTATGCTCATTTTTGTTAGGTTTAACTTGTGATTTCTGTTATTACCTTCTATTTTACTATATTTATAATATCTGGGATGGGCTTTCCAAAGTTTTCAAGCTACTTTTCAGCATAAAATAGACTCCCTCATGTTTGAATTCATTTAGTTCTGACTGGCAACTACTTATGACTCACAAATTCACACATAACATAACCAAATCTTTTCCATAGCAACATAAGATTAAGATACATCTAATACTATTTAATAATTTTGCAAGTATGTGTAGTTTATAATGCATTCATTCATACTAGAGGTCATCCAGTGGACGAAAACTCAACCAAAAATATCTAACGTACAGACTTCTCTATTTTCACCTCAAGCTGTAAATAAAACATGTGATTGGAATTTCTTCCATTTGTTTTGATTTTCTGTTTATATTTTGTCACTAGCATGGCAACCCATAAGGCCCAGGTTAATTTTATTTTTAAATTTTAAATTAATTTGTTGTGCTTATTTTTTATCTTATTTTATTTTTTAAAGGGATTTTGCAATTCTACATGAAAATATCTTTCTAACAGTATGTCTAGATTTTACGTGCGATGCACACGAGTTGAGGTTTTCTAGAAACATGCTTGCCTATGATTTGTAGCTGCCAGATGCAGGGTTATGTTATATATTATAGGAGGATCGTGTAAGTTGTGATAGTTCACAACTTTTTAGTTCGCGGTGGTTCTCCAGACAACATTTGCTCTCTGGACTAGTGTTATTCTCACGGAGTTTAAATTTGGGGGAGTCTATTGTAAGAAATACAATTGGCTGCTGACTAATGAGTTGGCTCAGCGCTCGATTTGCAAAAAATGAGGTGCCGGAACTGTAACCCATTTAATGTGATTTGTACCTATCTTTGCCAATATTTTTATATTTCCGACAGAGACGTACCGGACTCTGTTCCGCTGCGTTCCCCTACAAATCGAGCACTGAGTTGGCTTCTAAAACCCAATGATAGTTTTAAGTTAATTGAAAATTTGATATATAACTTTGCCACTAAATTGATTGATCTTGTTTGAACAGAGAAATGTGCTTGTAATGTATGACTAGGCCTGGTGGTGGGGGGGTGAATAGTTTCAGTTTGCAGACAAAACTACGGGAATAAACTTCAAGAGCCGATAATACCTGACACAAGGTAGTGCTTTAGTTATTTAAACAAAACCGCCTACTGTAAGAAAGCAACAATTCTCCCAAGAAACAAGACAAGTTTACCAGTTACCTCTTATTCAAAATTTTGAAAAGCTACACAGTTTTATATCCCTGGCATTCATCTTAAATTAAATATACATTCTGTTACAGATTGTATCTATCGAGTATTCATGAACTTGAAAGACACATTTTCTTGTGAGTTGTGAATTGTTTATATTCTAATTATTAGAGAAACGTGAGAACTGTGTCATTTTATTGTTGGCTCTTAAGATTATTCCAGAATTTCCTAGCTCAATTTAATATTAAAATGTATTCAAACTATCAAATACCATTAACAATTAACTAAATAAAATGATTTATGTATGTTATTTCTAATTATTTCTGCTCTTAAATAGTGTGACTTAACCATCGTATTTTTGTTTATTGATTTTGTATTTGTTTCTTATTGACTCCTCTAGATTTCATTGTTCTCATTGTATTCGTATTCAAAGCTTTATGTCTAAGGAACATGTCAACCTTAGTCACTAACAAGACTACAAGATCGCGCCACTACATTCATCCCCATTCGTACTTGGCTTAAAATACCTATACTTTTGTATGGTCACCATTTCAAAGTAAAGTATTAAAAGTATGAGTTTTTTTGTAAGATTTTCAAACTAGACAGTAAATGAAAATAATTAAAACTTTGAAATAGAAACTGGCTAGGATTTTTTTGTAACATTTCCTAAACTTTCTCTGCTAACTGAAACTATAAGTACTTATAACAATTGTTTTTGTTAATCATCTTGTAAAATTGTAAATTTTGTAATTTTAAGCAAAGAGATCCAAGTGCCACAGTAGGACTTAAGTCCCTGAACCTTTCTTTATGATATGTATATGTGAGTGATATCTCTTTTATTTAAATTATACAAATTTCTTTTTCAATTGTCTGAGTCTTATTTCCTATTGTTCATTCAGTGGGGCAGCAAACTATTTGTCCCAAGGCTCTTTTCATCGCATAGACATGTTACACGGAAATGAAAGGATTGGCTATAGTGTAATTATATAGGACCAATTTCAAATTGGTTAAAATCTATTTTTCCTTGATCAATCTGATAACGTAGGTAAGTATATAATATGACTAGCAGGAGTACCTGTCCTTCGTACGGGGTTGACGTATAAGTTTTAAATGCTTATTGCAGTTATACTCAAGTTTTGCGTTTGCAATGGAGGAGGAAACACGGAAACAGTTTTATAAAATTTGCTTCATTAAATTAACAGTATACTATGGTATTACACATATACCATAGCCATAATATTCTACCACTTCACCTAAAAAAATAAAAAAAAAATAAATTATTAAAAATTCGCAAAATATCACAAATTATTCATGACATTAAAAACATAAACATAACTGTAAACAATCCTATTTTGACAGTTCTCATTGAGTATCACAGTTTTTTTGTTGCTGCTTGTTTCAAATTAGCAGTTTTCGTAAATGCAAAATAAAAAACAAAAGTGCTGCACCCTGTTGGTAATCTTATAACTTTTTAAAGCTTTTGCATATCATAGAAACAACTGTTTTATTTGAAACAGCTGACTAAATTATTTAATTCCCATTAAATGTGAATACTCATAAGGTTAACATGGGGAACTACAGAGCCACTGGGGTGGAGCCCGAAAGGATTTTTGAGATAAGAATATACCTATATGTTAACCAATGTGAGCTATCATCATGCCAAATTTCAGCCCAATCTGTCCAGTGGTTTATGTGTGATTGAACTTCAAACACACAAACAAACAAACACACAAACTTTCACATTTATAATATTGGTAAGATAAGATTCAATTCAGAAAGTGGAGAAAACTTAAAAACTTGGCCAGCTATGGGGACGGAAGAGGCTGGGTTTACTTCTTTCCTTCCTTATTTTGAATACCATATTTTTGCAAAATTTATTACTCCATTGTTAATACATTTTTTAATATTTTCTGTAAAATGTCTAGGCAGTATTATCCGTGTGTTATATATATATATATTATATAATTTTCGAGTAAAGTTCGTGAGTCATGGAAATCAATGGTAAAGGCCAAGTCACACCGAGCTCGCTCCCGCGGCGGGAGCGAATTTTGAAAAATCGCTCACCATGTTATCAAATGTGTCAAGTCACACCGCACTACCGCACGCCCGAGGGCGTGCGGTAGTGTCCGCCACGTCCGCCTGCTGAGCGATTTTTTGAGACTACCGCGGCGGGAGTTTTGTCTAGCGCATGCGCAAAGGGACATTTCAAATGCCCAAGCTATTTAAAGTTTAAAAGTAATACAGTTTTACATTAAATTTAACATGTTTCTTTGTTCTTTGTTTGAAGATGTACTTAGTCTATGTTGATTTGTATTATCTTGGTAATTATGTTTATCACAAGAAAAAAATAATTTTTGTTTACCATGCATAAATAATGTTTAAGGTGAAAATTTAATGTTCCCCATAAAGATTTTTGTATTGCCGACGTAAACAATTTTTTTTATTGTTTCATTAACTTTTTTGATTTGCAACAACCAAAACTTTACAGCCAATGTAAACTTGAACTTTCAATAGAAGGCTTAGCAAAAAATTACATTAGTTTTAAAATAGTCATATGTTTTTATTTAAAAAGTAAATAGTCTTTGTAGTGTAGCGAAAAATAACGTTCAAAATGCTGAAAGTGGATAAATTATCCTCAACCATATTTAAGATGCTTCGAACACAAGGTCTAAATAAAAACAAAATAATTATTTACTTTTTAAAGTAGCCCTACACTAACAAATTAATAAACATCCAATTGCTTATTAAACACTTTACTTAAAACCTGCAAATTTAAATGGCATAATAAACAGGTAAGATGAGTTTCTTATGTAAAACGAATTGTAATGAACTCATCTCAAAACTCCCGCCGCGGACGCGAACTTTTGGTGTGACATGGCTCGAGGAAAAACGTCCGCGCGCGGTACTCCCGCGGCGGGAGTGGCGGATGTCGGTGTGACATGGCCTTAAAGGCCAAGTCACACCGATCTCGCTCCCGCGGCGGGAGCGAATTTTGAAAAATCGCTCACCATGTTATCAAATGTGCCAAGTCACACCGCATTACCGCGCGCCCGCGGGCGCGCGGTAGTGTCCGCCACGTCCGCCTGCTCAGCGATTTTTTTAGACTACCGCGGCGGGAGTTTTGTCTAATGATAATTTAATGTTTCCCATAAACATTTTTATATTGCCAACGTAAACATTTTTTTATTGTTTCATCAACTTTTTCGATTTGCAACAGCCAAAAATTTACAATCAATGTAAACTTGAACTTTTAATAGAAGGCTTAGCAAAAAATTACATTAGTTTTGAAATGGTCATATGTTTTTATTTAAAAAGTGAATAGTCTTTTAGTGTAGCGAAAAATAATGTTCAAAAGCTGAAAGTGGATAATTTATCCACAACCTTATTTAAAATGCTTCGAACACAATGTCTGAATTCAATTTTAAAAATAGTTATTCACTTTTTAAAGTAGCCCTACATTAACAAGTTAATAAACATTCAATTGCTTCTTAAACACTTTACTTAAAACCTGCAAATTTACATGGCATACTAAACAGGTAAGATGAGTTTCTTATGTAAAACGAATTGTGATGAACTCATCTCAAAACTCCCGCCGCGGTGTGACATGGCTCGAGGAAAAACATCCGCACGCGGTACTCCCGCGGCGGATGTCGGTGTGACATGGCCTTAAATGGTCATGGATAGTCATGGAAAGTCATGGAAATTAGTCGCCTATTAGTTTAACTTGGTTAAAAAGCTGGTGTATGATTTGACATAAATAACGTGTATTTTATTTTTATCAGTGCCAGTTACACACTACTTTGTACCATTGACTATTCATGGATTAATAAGTCAAAGGTTGTACTATGAAATATTTGAATTAGTTAAAATGTCAGCATATTCGACAGATATCGGTAATTTACATCAGTGCACTCTTTTGGTGGATCAATTTAATTATGCTCATTTTGATTGAAAAACTGGTGTCAACGTCAACATGGGGACAGAATGAATATATCTCTTATTACTAGCCAACCAAAAATAAGGCTGAACTGAGTTTCGTGGAAATTTATCTTAGATATTAATATTCACGTTTCAAATAAATCAATTAGTTTTCCTCAGTTAGTTTCCTCTCCTATTGTTCTATAATCAATGGTTCAATTGCTTACTTATTCTAATAATAGCCCAGAACTGCATACTAACCACCTTTTTTTGCAAACGTTGAGTCCTAGTTAAATGTCAGAAAATGATTTGTAAACAATAGACTAAGGTTATGTTTAACGTTTGTTGGTGTGACGTTGTTATTGTTAAACTTGTTATGTTTGAATTGTTCGGAACTTCGGTTTGGATAAGTAACTATTACTATTAGCATTGAATTTATATGAGCTCATTCATTTTATGAGTTTTTGACACTCAAGTCAAAATGAGTTAACTATTCATCATTATTATGTAAGCAACAGCGGATATCGCTCTCCGACAGATAAGTGAACGATGTGTGATGCGTAACAGCAACAGCTAACTTTCAATGTGGAACTAGGCCTAACTTAAATTGAGGTAAGACCACAGAATAATAAGTTACTTAGCTCTGCACTGTGGTAAGGTAATAAAAAAATCCTGAGTTAAAAACTACCTTTTGGTTGCGATAACTGTAACATAAGAAAACCAAGATAAAAACCGCTTTCCCCAAATCTAGTTTAACTTTAACTCTGATGATAGTGGTGTAGACTCTATTTTATATAATATATTATTTTATATTATTATTTTATATTGTATATAACATAAGATCTTTCCCCAAAACAATTTCTCGGTTCTAGGTTCATGTTAACCCTCTGACCGTTTAACTACCCATTTTTGGGTTTACTTACTTACTTACTTGATACTTGTCTTCTTTATCTTTGACCGTGGTTACAGATTGATAGCGTCAAATTTTTAATACTATATATTTTATATTAATATATTTTAACCATCGATATATAAACATTGTGTTTAGACCTATATATTGATGGGTTTGGGTTAAACCAAGAGAAGAATAACAGCTAACTTAACATCTAGCTTGATTTTGATTAACTTAGCTGATTTTTGAACAAACTGACACTTTTTGGTGTAGTGTTGCCATGCCACCTTGTAGCCGCAGTTTTAAACCACAGTAGAGAAATAATTACTTCCGATGTACCGAGTGACAAGTGAAAGTGAAAAATAAATATCTTGAGTAAAATATTGATATTAAAAATAAATCGGAGTTAAATATCAATAGGCTACCTACTAAAAATATATCGGAAGACAACTATCGATGGAAAAAACATCGACCATCGGCTTACAAACATCTTCACTCATATTTGGATTAAAATGCGCACATAAGTTAGTTGGTGTCCCCATCTCATAATCATATAACTTAAATGATAATAATTGATAATTGAACATGATGGGTGTTCAAACAATGACAACAATGTTTTGCCTACCTCTTAAATTCACCGAGTAAGTTATACAAATAACTTAACTAAGCTTGTTTATGGTTTTAGATTGGCCTACATCGTATGAAATGAATAGTTCGAGGTCAACTAGGTCTTTCCTCTTGCAGCATGCAAAACCATCTCGGATAAACACATTTACAACTGTGGTGGTTCTGGGTGGCATCATCATTGCGTTTCTGTTTGCCTACGCTGCATTTGGAAAAGATCCTGAGGGTAGGACGACACTTAGTCACGTCAGCATTGTAAGTACCTATCGTATTATTTAATTTAAAATTGTCATCCTTAATACATACATATATTACATATATTAACATATATTACTTAACAATTTAGGCATCTCTAAACCATTTAACTTAAGCGAAAGCGGCCCAAAACCCTTAACTAAACTTTATTAATTTGATACACATTGTCAGCCTTTAGCTAACTGTTAATATAACAGTTAACATGTTGGAAATCTTTAACAGGAAAATATTAGAAATAACGCAGATATTCTTGTAATATGGCTACTTTGGCCGGATTTGATTCGATACGTTATTATCAATGCTTAGAGAGCTTAGGCCTATAGAATGATTCAAAGAACTTAATAAGCATTAAGTTATTTACTTTTTCAGTTTTTTAACACTTGGTTTTTGATATTAAATAAATAATGAAACTATAGGCCTAACGCTGGCATTAAACTAAAAAAAACCTGCTAAAATGTTAAATTTTTAATAATAACAATTTTAGGTGGATAGGAACCATCATGTCAAGTTCCACATGTTGATATTTTAGTCGTTCATGTACCGGTATGTCGTTCATACCACTTCATAGTGATGAGTGGTTTCTTTCAAAACCAACAATGATGTAAATGTGTATTTTAGTTGTACAAAACTCTATTCTTATCTAACTTATGTTGTTTAAGTAGGTAGTTAAAAGCTCAAGGATCTAGCATTTGATAACAAAGTAATTATTGTGATATAAAAGTCACGTAATACAGTAGCCTATGATTTAAGACTTCTAATCTTATTATCCAGCTTAGTCTAATCCTTCCTGATATTGTTTTCATATAATTTTCATATCTTGTTTTTAGATAGGCTATATGTAAAAATTTTTAGGTGGAATTACAAAGAGAAACTATCGGAATTTTCATTATTTGCAAGATAATGGAAATTGACCAAGCGTTTTACATCAACCATGTGAAGCCCAGAGAAAATAAAGAAGCATTGCTAAAAATTTACAAAAAAAACTATAAAATAATGCCCTAGAGTGTAGGCCCTATACTTAACATAAATTGTAACCAATAACATTATAATGGGAGGAAACAATAAAATTATTACAACGGGCAGATGAATGTGAATATAAAATAATTTTCTTTAAGGAAGACAAAATAACCACTTTAGCAATGGTTTGTTTAATCTGTTCATTGTGATTATAAATTCACGTGAAAATCTCAAAAGATTCTTTACGCTCATCTTCACCTACAAAAAAAAAAAAAAAAAAAAGTATCTTAAAGAAAGTAGTAAAGAAAGTATCTTCACCTACGACCGTTTTTTTAACTAGCCTTTCAATTCAGTTCTTAGAGTTAAAAAGATTAACTTTACTGCACTGGTAAAGGACCTATAAAGTTCAAGGATTGAGAGGAAATAAGTAAAATTGTAATGCTTCAAACGTCAACTTATCAGCTGTTAAAACCAATTTAATCGATTATACAATGAGTGGTTGGTACAATGAGTCGTTGCATCACTATCAGTAATGAGAGGTTATAAACAAAAACATAACCTCTCATAGAAGCTATGTAGTATGGGTGTTGATAGTTATTAATTAAAAACCAAGTAAAGTAGTGTGTACGCAACTCGCGCAAACAATCTTTATGTGATCTTTATGTAAACTACTATTACATTACACATCAAGTTTAAATTCTTATCTACAAGCTTGAGGTTGGGTTGTTTCTGCAGGATCCATGTGCAAAGATATGTTATTATTAACTTAATAAATATAATAGGGCTTCAAGGGTTGAAAGGTTTGGGCTGATGTTACAATCAGTTACACTGTAAATAGTTCAAAGGACAAAGGTCTCGCTGTGTTTTGGTTAAGCCCCGTTCACACGGGGCGAGTTTACAAGCTACACGCCGGCTTTTTTACACGCAGCTAGTAAAATAGCTCAGTGTGAACGACGTACTCGCTCAAAAGCTGCTTGTAAAAAAGCTCTGGAAAAAGTTTACGCTGCCGCTACTTTACACGCCAACTCGCCAGCTTTTGAGCGAGTAGGCGTGTAAAGTAGCCCAGTGTGAACACAGTTGCTTGTGCTTGTGCGCTTGTTACTCAAAGATGTTGGAGGATTTGGTTCAAGCCAGCTACTGAGCGAGTTGAAAAAGCATCGTGTGAACGACTACAAGCGCAATCGCCGACTCGCCGGCGTCTTTCTACACGTTTGCGAGTTGGCGAGTGGACAAGCTCCGTGTGAACGAATACAAGCACACTCGCCAACTCGCCGTCTTCTTACACGCTGGCGTGTAGCTTGTAAACTCGCCCCGTGTGAACGGGCCTTTAAAAAAATAAAGGATCTAGAAACAACAGCAAATTATGAAATTATATTTGTTTGCTTAAACAGAGAACTACAATAATAAACATGTAAATTGAAAGAAACTTTTAAAAACATATTTTAGTACATCGTATCAAGGGAAAAGGTTTTATCAACATTAACGGCATATTTTACTACTGCCTATTTATGATAAAGATCATGTTACAGATATTTCGCCATGGAGAAAAGAATCCGACATCCTCTTACGCAAACGATCCGTACAAGGAGTCATTATTTTGGCCAGAAGGATGGGGCCAGCTGACCAATGTAAGTATTTTAGTTTAATTTGAACCCATTTCCTGTAATCTAATTTGATGAAACGATTTTATTAAGAAACTAGAAACCTGTTTGATGAAGTTTCACCAAATAAACTCACTGTTTCACTGTTTGTTGAATGCTAATAGCGCTCATACTACCGCTGCAAAGCTATCATGGGGGAATAATTATAAAAAAAGTGCTAAAAGTGGGAATAGTTGATTTTCAATTCTAAAACACTTTTGTCTTTGGTATTAAAAAACTGTTGAAATTCGATACCTTGGATTCCTTATTGGTTCCAAAATCTCCTGCCATAGCAGCAAAATAGGGATTATGTACTGCACTCACAGGAACTTCTTATACATTATGTACAGTGGTCGCAGCGTCATTGTGAATTTCCAACCAAATTGCTGAGGGCTTCCGCTATCACCTTAGTATATCAAAATTCCCATCCTAAAAGAAACTAAATAATTGAGACCCTGTCAAAAAAAATCCAAATTTGTTATCTCCACCCAACATTTAACCTATCATCAGTACAAAATGTGTTGAGATATTACTGGAAAAACCAATAATTTCATTCTCAAATCAAAAATATACAGTACACTTTTCTATGTGTTTGCATTAAAACTAGGTGTATTTTGTTTACCAGCGTGGCAAGCGCCAGATGTACCAGGTGGGGGAGTGGCTACGTAGACGCTACGGCAATGCTCTGCTTCGCTACTCTCCACAGACTGTGCGAGTGGACAGCAGTGATCACGACAGGTGTCACCAGAGTGCAGCTGTGTTGTTGGCAGCATTGTTCCCTCCCTCTGCAGACCAGGTGTGGAACGATCAGCTGTTGTGGCAGCCGATACCCATCCACTCCAGCCCTCTCAGTATGGACAAAGTGAGTGATAGACTTCGGTTGAATATTTAAATTACAAAGTTTGTCCGTAAATTAGGGTCTATATCGAGTCCCTGTCACAACCAGGCAAGCTAGTTAAAATCGGAGACCATTTTTTCCTTACTTTATTTACTACTATTATAGGTGTTAGTCTGGTCTTCCTATCAAAAGTTGTTGTAAAAGAAAAATGACACTCGCAGCAAGTATGAATCGTGTTTTGAGGTTCTTTAGGAAGAAGGACAATCCCTGGTGATTACTGTTGTCAGTTGATAATGTGTATGCAGAACGGAGGTTGACGTAGAAAATGTGAATTAGTGGCTTGGGGAGTTTGTGAAAGCCCAAGAACATATTTGCTCGACGGGGCTAGAGATGGGTGTTCATCGGTTTCTGTCGTAAAAAGTGATTAAATTTAAAGAAACTTTGCCTTCAGATCGGTGTGTCTCAGACTTCAGGACTGACCATAGTACTTGATAGTTTTATAGAGACGTCTCCTATTATTTCAATAATCCCTTTTGTTTATTCGCACCATCTGCACGTGACATTCCTTAGCTTTGGGCAAATGAGACTGATGAACAGCAGCCTTTACCATGGAAAACATCGTGCAAATGTTAAATCCACCTCCGAACTCCCTTCACGCATTGTGCACAATTAGCTATTTACAAACACCTTACTCCACTCATGTCCATGAGTTCAATAGCAATTGACAACTGAGACAATTTTTGTGTCTCTTAGTACTATTGTCGCTTTAATCTCAAAATTATTGTGAGGGTCAAAATCACTTCTTTACATATTTTTAGAATAAACTATAATTTTTACGATAGGTTCTGGCTTGGAAACGTTTTACACATTGCATTATGCTAGTCCTAGTAGGTCGCATTATCACCTAGATAATGCGATGATCCATTGGTGATTGGGGGATTTGAACCTGGGACCTCGGGCTCCGATGCCCTCAGATCTACCACTAAATCAGCTTGCTTCCCAGGATAAACTATCCTAAACAGCCTTTTAGTTTGGTATCAAATGGAAGTTTGTTAATTGTGTTTCTCTTTTTCCAGTTAATCACAGTGAAGGCAAAATGTCCCTTGTACGATAGGGAAAAACACAAAAGCGACAGTGAACTGTCTGCAAAGTACGACAAACAGAATTCCGAACTGTACAAGTATCTGACGGACAAAGCTGGCCAGAACATTAGTTCTTTACTGGATGTTGAGTCACTGTTTAACATACTTGAAATTGAGGTAAATATTTCATAATCAAACTAAGCGTATTAAGCATTATTCATCACATTTACAGTTTTAAGTGATTAACTCAGTGAGGTCTGACCATTAGGATCTATTCGCAGGGTCTACCTAGCCATTGTTCTGTTCCAACCAGTGCTCGATTTGTAAAAAATGAGGTGCCGGAACAGTAACCTTTTTAATGTGATTACTACTTATCTATGTACCTATTAATGCCAATATTTTTATCTTTCCAAAAGAGAGGTACCAGAATGCTGTTCTGTCACAAATTGAGCACTGGTTGTATCCATCCAATCAGATAGCCTTTCTCAAATTATCCTGAGACGGAGTATATGCTAAGAAGTAAAATGCTTCTTATTAAAGTACAGAAGCATGATATAGTGCTATATGATTGTTATTTGGATATATTTTCTATAGCTTTAGGAACTATTTTTAACCTACTTTGTATTATCTTCATGCGTATGCTTTTGAGGCCGATTATCATTAGAATTAATTGTGATGGCTTTTGCAAACTTTGCACCAAATAAAGCCGAGATTCTAGTCATCTTCAAACAGATATGTTTTGGTATAGCTGTTTGCTATGTGTCCCTACGTGAGATATTAAAAGTGTAAATAGAATAAATGGAAACTTGGTCACCAGGTTCATGCTTGTTGTTTACTATTTTGATCCAAACGATATTCTAATTGTTATAACTTCCCACACAACCTCATCAGAATGTGTTTGGGTTTTAGAAGGAGACTGGTAAGCAGCTACCTGAATGGACTGAGTCGGTGTATCCGGATAAGATGAAAGACATAGCTGCTCTTGTACTGGCAAGCTTCACTCACACACCTCTCATGAAGAGAATCAAAGGAGGTGCGTAAAGAGATCTTTTAATCAGATACGCTCATGAACAACAAATTTGTATAGAGAACAACCTTACAACACAGTTTAATTACACAAGGCAATTAATCCTCTCCTCTCCGGCAACACCTGTGGTAGTCTTGGCGACACCAATAATCGTCTCCTGCGACCATGGCAACACCTGTGGTGGTCTTGGCGACACCAATTATTGTCTCCTGCGACCATGGCAACACCTGTGGTAGTCTTGGCGACACCAATTATTGTCTCCTGCGACCATGGCAACACCTGTGGTAGTCTTGGCGACACCAATTATTGTCTCCTGCGACCATGGCAACACCTGAGAGTAGGTCTTGGAGTCTTGGTGAAACCGGTAACTGTCACCCATGATTACAGCAACACCCGTGCATCTTAGTCTCGGTGATAGTAGTGATCCTCTGCCGCGATTACGGTAACAACCGTGATCAGACTTTTGATTAACCAAATGCGCTCGGCGTTATCACTCCAGACAGAAAAAAGTAGACGGTCGGACAGTAGGTCAGATATCGGGAGGATTCGGTTATGACAAGGTTGTATATGAGTGTTTCTTATTCCACGGTATAAAATAAACTACTTTTGATTTGAAATGTACTTAGGTGTTTGAAATGTATGGATGAGGAATATTCAAATTAAATACAAAATCATTCATCTCTGATCATGCGTCGGTGGCAATTAGAGGCAGAGGAGGTCATAAGGTGGCACCTCCACTTTTATCATGTATTGATAAATTAAAATAATGCTTATTCCCAATACAAACTCATGTTTCCCAGGTGGTTTTGACCCCCTACTTCTAATTCACTGCTTCTGTCTTCATGGAAGACTTTGAAGATTATGGAAAAGGGCCTGTCTTATAGCTCATCAACAAATAGAGAAATTGAAAAATTCAAAAACATTGAAACTCACTTAACTTGACTAACTTAAAAGAAACGTGTGGTAATTGGGGGTTTGAAAAAAGAAAGAAAAATGCATTATAACCTGAAACCATGGTAAACAGAAAAAAAAACTGCTGAGGTCACTGGCCTTGCACTTTAAGAAAGATCTAAGTTCAGAAGGGTGTTGGGATAAAAAGTTTATAAATTCCTATTCCAAAAATTAGCCTTCAAAAACAAACCATTTGTTATCTGGAACCTAGTTCATCCAGAACAGTCTCACTCATTTATTTTAATCCCATTTAACCCATGCTTTACTCTTTTTTGTTACCACGTTACATACATCATTCATACATATACGATTCATCTACAGGGCCTCTGATTGGTGCGATGGCAGGAAACATGAATGCGGTGTTTAACGGCACCAGCAAACGCAAGGTCTCTCTTTACGCAGCACACGATCTGACGATTGTCAGTGTTCGGAGAGCACTTGGCTTTAATGACATTACATTTAAGCCTGGCTTGGGAGCCGCACTCATCGTGGAACTTGAAGTGGTCAACAATGTGCCTTTAGTTGAAGTATGTAATCTATATACTTTAATATTATAAATTGTAAAATGTTGGTTTGATTGGATATTTTGATGATACACACACAATCTCGATTGAAAAGATTAACGTAATTAGATTTTTGTAAATTTGTTGAATAGTAGTTGTCAGTAGATTTTTTTTCTACCCAGATAATTTCTAAACATACTTTTCAAATTATATTTTGTGTGTTTTTCAAATTTTTTTAATGACAGGTTCTAAGGTGGAAGTTGATATGGTAGGTAGATTCTTTGTGTGTTGCACTACAATACAGCCATGTTGTTTTTTACCAACTCAAGTATTGTTTGTGTTTCCACTTAAACTTTTTTAGTAAGACTTTCTATTTTAGTGAGAAAAAACGTTATGGTAGTAATAGATAAAACTAAAAAAATCAATATATAGTCCCTAAGGCTAAAATAGTTAAGGTAAAACACAGAAAAGTGAGGCGTATAAGAAACTTGCATATGGGACAACAATGTGCTTTCAGCTAAAGTATGTTGTACTTGTTATATACTTATGACAAGGAAATAAGAGCCCAAGTGGCGAGCACTTTGCAGAAATTCTATTGCACAGAGCACAGAGACTACCTCCACCGTGAGCGTTGCAGTACATGATGGCTAAGAAGGCGGTGTGGAACTTTGCCCTTAGACTAGTGCTAGAAAACACAAGTGTACAATTGAATGTTTCCCCTGCTTCTTACTTATCTGAGGCTAAACTGAGTTTAAAAACCTGAACACTATTAAGGTTACTGGCAAATATAACTTTTTTCTCTTGCATCAAAGTTCAATAGGCTACTTCACTAGGGACAGATTGTTCAGATGACTGTAGCTCTTATGTAAACGGTTGTTCACAGGTACACTACGCGCAGAGCTATGCAGATACTGATTTGGAACGGTGGGAACTGCCTGGTTGTCCTTCCCCATGTAGTCTGAGCGCCTATACCGAAGCTATGTCTTCCGTCATTCCCCAAGACTGGGATTCTGAGTGCAACTTAGACCAGGCCACATCCTAGAACTAAAAAGCAGCAGCAAAGAACTACCAAGTATAATTGTAGTCTGTAGAAATAATTTTACTAGAACATAGTTTGTTCCTCTTCAACAATCTATCTTGAAAGAATCAAAATCTAAACAGATCAAAATGGTTTGTTTGTTTACACTTAGTAACAACAGTAGTAGTCTACAGTTGTATAACATTCTCATATGATTGGATGTCTTTATGCATAAGGGGACCAAGCGACGCAGATGTGAAAATGAGAAATTAAGAGTCAAAGTTTAATGTGGTCCTAAATTATTGAAAAACTCAAACCCTTTAAAAATGGTTTAGATGTGTGTAGTGGTGATATATGGAATTATTTATCAAGAGAACTATATTATTATTTATGTTTTTTTCTCTGATATAAGGAAAAATGGCGCTCGGTTCTTTTACGCTTATTTGTGAATGTTACAATGATACAGCCCAAATGGCGCTTGGTTCCTCACCCATGGTTCCTTGGTTCCTTTATGCATAATAAAAATTATTGGTTATTTTAGGTCCTGTTTACTACCTAATTAATTGTATTGAATAGAATTTTGACATGGTTCTCGAATGCAAAATAGATTATTCCACATAGAGAAAGGAATATTATAGGTTGCCTTTAATATGATGGATGATGAAAATTGTTGGCGCTTGGTTCCGTACTGCAAAATAGACAATCCCACATAGAGAAACATTTTTTACATTCTTTTCATAATTTTGTCAAAATTTATACAACGATGGGATTTGGGTATAGATTCTGGTCTGTTCCTCAAGATGGCAGCACTAGCTCATTTTTTTATGATTTGGCACTTAGTTCCCTTATGCATAAAGGCATCCAATTTACAAAAAGCCAAACTTATGTACAACTGATCCAACACTATGTATGGTTTCCAATCAAAATGAAAACAACAATTTAAATACACTTTTAAGCTGTAAAACTGTTTAGATAATTGATCATCAAAGCTTTTGTTGATCTTTAACTGCTTTGTAGTCAAAGACCTATTTAGGGAGATGATAAGTCAAAAACCAAATATAACTACTACAACAGCAAGGGTCAGAGTTTTGTTCAGTTTAACAATATTACAGCTTTATTATAGTTTCAGTTTATTTTGTGGATATGTCATTTAACTGCAAGTCAATTCTCAGATCTAGAAGATTGAGTTTTCATTCAATTATATTGATTTATTTCACCCCTCTGTAGAAAGTTTATGAATCAGTTGTTACAAAGTAATGTTTAAGTGTTGTAAGAAAAGGAAAAGGAGTGATAAAAGAAGGGGTAATGTTTAATTTTATACCTACCCCTTTTTTTAATCTAAATGCTTAATTCAGTTCACTGCATGACTCGTTTAAATTTCTTGCACCTTGCAATTATAAACAAATGTATACTATGTAATGTGATAAATTTAGATTTATGTATACAAATATTGCATTTAATCTTATTATAGTTTTGTCTTTAAATTATTTTTTTGTTAATTTAGCTCAACTTTCTTTTTTGATGCTATATACGATTTGTTAGTTGAGCATAAAATAAATAAGAAATGTTATAACTATATTCCGATGCCATTTAGTTTTAGAATTAACTATGCGTTTCCTATAAGTAATCCGTCCGTGAGTTAAAAAACTTATTTCAGTGATTCATTAGTACTGTATGACAATATTTTTCATCACTGAACCGTTTTAAGTATATCTGTGCCACTTTTATTTAATGCACATTTTTCAGTGATCAAATATGTAGCCAAAGTGCCATACAAATTCATCCTTTACTAGGTACTGGTATTGGGTTTTTTGCAAAAGAGAATTTAGTATCAAGATTAAACATCACAAATCTTTGCAAAACTACGTCAAATTATTTTAGTAATTTTCTGAAGACCTGGGGTCAGTTAGGCCTAAATAGACTAGATAAGAAAATCACAACGATTCTGAAAAGAGAAAACCTTGAGTTAGAAAAGAATTTAGATTTCGTAACAATTCGTAAAAAGTGTTAAAACATCATCAGTACCTAATTTGTTTGAAAAAAGTATACGAAAAAAAAGCCAGCCTGTGATTTTGTTGTTAAAATAATATAGTTCAAAGTCGAACAAATTCAGGAGTTGTAACAGAGATTTTGTTGTTTTGTTATCAAATTAAACATAACAGGTAACATTTCTGTAATTCTTTTTTGGAATTTTTGTATTGTAAAATATATATAGAAATCTCTTGTCATATTTAGTTTATAGCTCGTATTTATAGTTTATAGTTTTAATGATTTAATGGTTTGTTTTAAAACATCACCATTTGTAATTTGGCACTGCCTAAAGTACGTAGAATTCATGATTAATTCTTACAAAACATGAAGTTATCTTGGACCAAAGAGAATTAAATAATTTGAATCATGTCAACAATATCCTATGTATTTTTTTTACAAATGTTTAATTTGGTAAGTTGAATACATGTTGTGTACTAGGTACTAGTTATAAATTAGATATGTATTTTTAATATGTATATTTATTGTTACAAAATATACCATTCAAAGTTGCCAAAGTGCCTGTCTTTACTTTTGCTGCCTTCTACCTTTTACTGTATTTTGACTGTTTTTAACTTTCAAACTAAAATCTTGAGTTTGTTATTAAGACCAATGGACTTGATAATCTTTGACCTTTTTACTGATATTTAAGATTGAAAAAAAAACACGGTTGAATCACGTTCAAATGTTTTGAAAAAGCTGTGAGTATGCATATTGATTATTTGTTCCTTATAAATATTAAATATTCTTGGAATTTACCTAAAAATTGACTAGTGTCCACTATTAAAACCTCACTTTAAGACAAAAATTCAAATTCATTCTGGAGGATTACCTAATTGATTTGATGCAGTAATTTTGTTGTTGATGGTGTGCAGAGAGTTCTATATTTAATTTTTATTTCCTAGTTGTTTGTTCAATGGGTAAACATTATTGGATTTGAATAATACTTTTGGAAGATATCATTGATGCACGGTAATTTTGATTAATTCCAAAAAGTATTTGAGATTAAATAAACAAGAATTGGGTATGTAACAATACTCTCTGAAAGGGCATTTTGAGTTTGTTTGGATTTGAACTATGTTCTATCTTATTTTCTATTAGTTCTAGAGAAATGTCTTGGCTATTTGGTAATACTGGGAAAAGCGATAAGAGGATGGATGGTAAAACTGCCATAGTGACTGGAAGTTCATCCGGAGTTGGGTATCACACTGCCCTAGAGCTGTACAAAAGAGGTAAAGTAAAACAGGTGGAATTTACGATTTTAATATTATTAGGTCCCTCCTTTAGATTCAAAAGCAGTTTTGGCTGGGAACATACAGTATGGTAATTTTGTATAAGAAACCAAATTATGTGGTTTTCGCAGTGGCGTAGGTACATCGAGAGGCGCCCTCCGCAGTACATGCTGATGCCCCCCACCAATATATCGCACCTTACGTTTCATTCATTTATCTCAGCAAAAAGCCGCGATTGCAGCAAAATCCAAAAACTCTCGCGGACATTTGTTTATAATCATGGATACATCGTCATCGTTTTCCGTGATCGCAGCCAAATCTTGAATATATTTTGCGTTCATGTAGACGTGATCATCGTCTCCCGTGGTCATGGAAGCTTGTCATCGTGGTAATATCTTGTACATCATCATTGTCTCCCGCGGTCACGGAAACATTACATTATTCCAAAATAGTGCAAAAACTTGGATATTTTCTCCGGTCTTGTAGACTCTCATGAGATCATCATCGTCTCCTGCGATCAAGGAAAAAAACATCACCTTTTTCCTTAATAGTGCCAAAATCATGGACATCGAATATCATATCTTCTTCGCTCTTGAAGATACCTATCATCAACATCTCCCACGGTCACGGAAATAACGTCATCTTTTTCCGCAATTGTGGTGAACGGTAACAGTCAGAACTCGGCCCCTCCCCCTCGCACCGCGGGGTTTGCGGGGGTGTTATTTATGCACTGGGTTTTGTCTTTGAGATTAGCGACTGAGTAACACAGTCTGTGATGTAAAGATTCCAACTTTATCTATTTTATGTACCTACCTCATTATTAGGCACTTTCAATAGAGACTTTAAGAGAGCGGTATTCTTTTTTTTATTATGTAAATATTTTTGGTGTGTATATTTAAATAGCAAAAAGGTTTCAATACCTGTTTCTGCCTTATGATTATTTATTGCACTTCAAGAATGGACGTCGCTTGTCTGTTTTGATGGTTAAAACATCATGATCAGGTTGTACAAAAACTTGATTAGATTAACAATAAATCAACTTTTATGGTTCGAACCTCCTCTTTTGGTCAGTGTGAGAAATAGTTCAAATATATGTTACTTTACTTATATGAACAAATTGATTATTGTTTTACAAAATTTATTGTCCTGTCAGACCCATCACTTTGACCCAGTACTATATTTGGCGTCTGGGAAAAAAATAATGTGTTTCTGGACCAAGGATTTTTCTGCAGTATAGTTTGGACCTTTTTGTATATAAATGGACCTGTAAGTCATATAACAAATACATAGTTTTTTTGAGCTTTGTCACGTTTTAAACAATGAGTTTAAACATTTCAGGAGGAAATGTAATTTTAGCTAGCAGATCTCTGAGAAAACTGCAAGAAACAGAACAAAGATTCAAGAGATATTGTGCCAATCTGAAGAATGTTGGTCAACTTTCAATCATAGAGTTGGACTTATCATCATTAGAGTCTGTCAGGAAATGTGTCAAGACATTGCTTGATCAACAGCCAGAAATACACATTTTGGTAAACAATGCAGGTATGAAATGTGCTTTTTAAAATACAGTAGTCTTCTATTTTAAGCGAATTCCCCAATAGGGAAGTAGCTATTACCGTAGGTGGCTATAGATAGATTTATATATATAGATTTATACAGGTTGTTTCAGAATTTGTGTTGGATATTTTAGGCTGTGGATTAACGTCCGCACGAGTGAGTACTACGACTATCCGCAGTACTATCCTGATAATTAGACCAATTTGTATACCAAGGCAAAAATGTGGTTCGGATTCCACTATAAACTGTAGGTCCTTTAGTTGCCATTAGCTGTATGGGCTATTAATTAACAGCTGTGTCTAAAGAATGTCGGCCTTAGTCACTAACAAGACTACAATATCGCGCCACTCATCCTACACTCATCATCTCCATTCATACTTGGCTTAAAATACCTACTTTGTATGGACGCCATTTAGTAAAAAAGTATTAGAGGTATTATTCCTGGGTAAGAAACATATCCAAATAGCATATTTAAATTGTCCACAAGTCCTTAGTTACTCATACAGCCGCCATTTTTTTTCACTTATTAATTGTTTTATAAAAAGTGATAAAAGATACAAAGTTTAAACTTTGTAGGAATATTTATGACTACTATAGACAATCTACAAAAAAATTATGACAATTTTTAAAATGCAAAAAACAAAATGGCAGCCATTAAAAATTAAATTTTCTTTCTTAAATAACTCAAAAACCGTTGATTTTACAATGTCTGAAACTAGCCGAAACAAAAGAAAGTATGTTTCTAGTCACAAAAACACTGTAACTACATTTGCATTTATATTTTTTTGTAGGGGAACAACCCAACCCTTTATAAAATAAAAAAAAACTCCTTTTTTTAAAGCTAAAAGAATTAGTTGGTTAGGTCATGTACTTCGGAAACAGGAAGGCACAAGACTGAAGGAGGTTTGTGAGGCTTTACCTACAGGAAGATGTCCGTTGGTTAGGCCTAAATTAAGATGGTATGAAACCAGTGAACACTCATTGGCCGAAAACTAACGCCACGTTCGAACTTCACGTTGGACCGAGAAACTTTTGGGAGCTTATAAATTACAGACGCATTTAACACAAAATGGGATTTATTGATTCACTGACTCGCTAAAATTATACAATTATGGTTTAAGAGCTAAAAAATGTAGATATTAAATTTAAAGTAAAAGAAATAAAATTTAGATTCAAGGGAGCGTGGAGACGCGTCTGTTTTAATTGAGTTTTCAACACAGACTGCCTTGTCCTTTCGTTGCCGGCAGTGCTGAGGCGCCTCGCAGGCCAATCAGCGTTCAGCGTGGTTACAGAACGGCACCCTGCGCAAGGCTCAACCTCTTTGCCCGCCAAACACACTCTCTAACGGAGGCTAGCTCTGTTAGCAGAAAGCCCGAGTCAACACGGGCAATGAGCATATTCCAGCTTCATAACTTTTACTACTAGAATATTATTATAATTTAAACGAGGTTGGGGATAGTTTGGCGATGCCGGGATATTCATATGGAGACTCAATTACCTTCAAATATTTGAATAAATATTTCCTGAGTTTCTGACCGCTGGTTTGGACGATGATCATATTTATTGATACTATCGATAAAGGTGTGATAATCGATGTTAACATCAAACCAGGCCATTTATGGAAATTTGGCAGTTATTCCTGCCCTGCCAATTCCTTATTTAATTATCATAACTCCTGAGCAGTTGGTCAGAATTTAATTTAAGTATGAACGGCCAGGCCGTTACATGTATGACCATTTCTTCAGTATTATTTAATAATGAGACCACTCCAATCATTACCATATCATTTAACCTAGTTTCTTATCGCTTCTTATGGCCCTTTTTTTGTTAACGAGGTCTATTGTAACATATGTTATTTAATGACCAATAAAGATTTATGATTTATGATTTATCAAATGCAATATTATGTAGAGTATTGCAGGTGTGGTGTTGTATAACCGTGAGTTGAGTGAGGATGGCTACGAGATGCAGTTTGCTGTCAATCATCTCGGCCACTTCTTACTCACTTTACTGCTCCTGCCTCGGATCATCAGGTCAGCTCCTTCCAGAATCATCAATGTCACATCAGAGCCCCATTGTATAGGTCAGTGATTTTTCATTATAAGTTCTCAATTGAGATGGGGACATCACGTAGGTGCGTATTTTAACCCAAATATGAGTGAAAGATGACTGTAGAATGGAGTGAGATGCCTTGTGTAGCTTTGCTACTGATTAATTCCAGCTGCTTGATTAGGATGCGTTCACAAAGAAAGCTGGTTACAAGTGCATGCAAGTTCCAACCGGCGTGAGAAAAATCTACATTGTATCAAGCGTGTGCGTTCACAGACAAAGCTTGCCCCGTTTAGCAAGCGCTTGCTACAAGTTCTGGCAAGCGTGCAAGAACGTTTTGTACTTGTTTTCTGGCTGTTGACCGAACCAGTCAATGACAAATAACTGTGCTAGTATGATGGATGTCGATGAACCGATATCTCAAGTCCTTGGAAGAGGGGCTATTTGGGACAAACGCCTCAAAATTACATGCTAATAGACATTCTTGAGGATGTAACTAAACGTGGTTAACTCCATTCTCATATAAGAAAAAACCTCACTTTGTCCAATTTCAATTGAGGAAATAAATAATGGTATTCAGCAAACCTACCTCTTCCGGAGTTAATTGCATGGACACCAACTTTCATTCTACAAACTTTTTTATTTGACATTTTCAAGCAAAAATAACTCTGATGTAAAAAAATAAAATCACTTGATGAAGACATTGTCTTAACAAAAAACTAGCTTGATATGTAAGCTTTTGTTGTGTACACACAACAAGATTCTCATGCATTTAGAACAAGCACTGAAAATATGTTACTCTATAAAATATGATACAGCTTTCATTGTGAACGCACCCTTAGCCAGGGCCATTTATTAAAAGCCTGATGATTAAGGACAGCTCAGTTTTCAACAATCAAAAGCTACACACTTTTCTCAGGATTGAACTGGTGACCTTTTAATTACTAGGTGAGCACTATAACTCAGCTACCTTAGCTATATAATTTAGAACAACTTGTTTGTATGGCTCATTGGGAGCAAGCTAGTGGTAGAGTAGGGATTTTCTGTTCACAAAGTCAAGTTTTAAAATCACTGCAACCAATGGTTGTAGCTAAGTGATCATTCTACAACTCTTTAGGTCAAGCCGAAAGGAATGTGTAAAACGGTTAGTGGTGGTGCTATAGAGATTGTGATGCCCAAGGCTAAGTTCAATAGTGGGCCTCTCTTAATACCTGAAATACAGCTGTGCGTGGTTCCTGAAAAGAAGCACCCACTTGTTCCTTTTTTAGTACAGTAAAAATAAGCGGAAAATTCCATAAACCTAAAAAACATTAGTACAAGCAACGAATTTGTATACTTAGCTTTTTCCTGTATACGTAGTCACTATAGCCAAAAATACATAAATATGCCACCATTTCCCAATATGGCGGCCGTAGCACAGCTTCAATTTTAGGGGACTTTTATTATGTTCAAAAGGAAGGTACACCCAACATCTGTACCAAATTCCTTGCTTGTGCTAATTTTTGTTGGGTCAAAACAAATTTTTATTGTACTATTTATGTATGTAGCCTAAAGTCCTACATAAAGGCATGACAAAATGACTCTGGCATACCCTTTATGCCTCTGGAGCCTAATGTCGCAGAATGCTAACAAAAACATAAATAACAAGAGATTATGTGTATCATGCTGTGATGATGTTCTTCGACCAAAGTTACCGTGTTTATTGCAATTCACCAAACTACTGCATGTCATAATAACATTGGTTACCCCGTCCTATTTCAAAATATATACACACTCAATAGTTATACATCTTTTTAAATAGTGAAAAAATAATTCAAACCAATGAGTTTGTATCGTATAGTTCGGCCGCTTAGAAAACGACCTCCTCTAGCATTGGTTTAGCATTAGCGCGCAGGTCGTTTTCTAAGCGGCCGAACTATAGTAACTTTATTCTCTTCAAGTACAACACTTCTTTATCATAAAACCTTTAGGTCTATAATCCTAACAATGAAGGATATTGGGTCTAGCCTCTGGTTCTAAGTCCAGATATTCATTGTAATCTTCGTTACCTTTTATTGTATACCTTTCTCCTGTATTGCAATACGACTAGACGTAACACTTTACAAGGTTTTTGAGTTAATTATTTATTTTACTCTTTTAGCTAACGACATAGACTTGGACGATATTAACTGTGAGGAATCATATTTTTACCACACAGTGTACAGCCAAACTAAACTAGCGAACATTTTATTCTCAAACGAATTGGTCAGAAGATTAAAAGCTTGTGGAGGTAAGAAATAAGTTGGATATTACCTAAGTAAATTTGGATTACTATATTGTTTTTATATTAGTTAACTTTAGACGGATGATGTGTATATTTGAAATGTATTTAATAGTTCCATGTAGTATTGCCTATATCTCACAAAATGTTTTTTTTCATAACGAAAACATAACTATGTACTTTCTAAAGACAAAATTGGCGAAAGCTGGCCCATATACAGTAGATCGGATTTCTACTTCATCAGCATCCAAAAGTCAATGCTGGGAGTCTAGATTAAAACCACTTTGCTTTTGGTTGATTGGTGTTGTAAGCCAAGTGTCAGCACCTTAGATTTAGGTCCAAGTCCAAGTGTATATGATTGTGGCGACTAGCGCCACGTCTGGGGGAAGTGCCTGCTCGCTGGGAGCATATACTTCCGGTCTGCTACCCCTGTGGCACACCCGAAGAGACTGGCCGTGGTGTGGAAGTCGCCCGTCCAACGGAGACCTTGAAGCGGCGAGCGGTCAGGTAGCTCTTGACGAGCCTGTAGATCGAGCCGGGTAGAGGGGAGGACGCCAGCTTGTAGAGAAGCCCCTCGTGCCAGACCCGGTCGAAGGCTTTGCTCACGTCGATCAGGACTGAGGTCGAGTGGTGCTTCCGTTCCATCGCTCCAGCGATGGTGTTGAGGACCCGCCGCAGCTGGAGGGTGGTGGAGTGGCCCCGCCTGAAGCCGTACTGCTCAGTCCTGATCGAAGAGAAGAACTCCTCGGGGAATCTCGCCAGGATGATCCGCTCCAGCATCTTGGAGAGCACAGGCAAGAGGGAGATCGGCCTGTGGTTCTCGGGGAAGATGTGGTCCTTGCCGGGCTTGGGGATGAGGATGACATTCGCCAACTTCCAGGTGTCAGGGAAGTGGGCCAGCCTCACGCAGGAGTTGAAGAGACAGGTGATCACAACAATCACCCAAGCCGGCAGGTTCTTCAGTGCTGGAGTCCCGAGGGAGTCCGGTCCAGGGGCCTTCTTCGGACGGAGTCGAGCGATGTGGCCCTTCACCTCGCTGACGGTCACGTGGGGGATGTCCTCGTCGTCGGAGTCCGGCTCGTAGGTCTCTACGAAGTCGTCAACAACCTCGCAGAAGTCCTCGTCGTAGACGTCCGGGTGTGGGGAAAACTGGTCTTCCAGCGAGTCTGCGAAGGTCTGTGCACGGTCTTCGGGCGTGTAGACGAGCCCGCGTCCCCCATGCAGCGGCCTGTTGTGGGTCTTCGTGCCGCGCAGAGCCTTGGCGATCTTCCAGATCCCGTCGTTGGTGTCAGCCTGTCCCTCGACGAAGTCCTCCCACTCCTGGGACCGATGCTCAGCCAGCAGTCGGGAGCACCTCCTGGCTTGCCGGTTGAAGTCCGCCTTCGCTCGAGGGCAGCGGGACTGTTGGTGTTCATATCCTGTCTATAGGTCTATTGTGCAACTCTTGATGAGTTCAACAGTCTGAAGAAGTTTGTTGGGACAGTGGTCAGCTTTGATGAAACTTGATGGATGTATGTATGCACCCCAAATAACTGCACTTTGCTTCTTTTTTCATCCTCACAGTACAAGTATCCCCATAAATTAGTTTTGAAATTATTTTGAATTATGTGTAATGTTATGGGAAAGAAAACATAATAAAAATATGCATAGTTAAATCCCTAACCCGAGGAGTTCAAAGGGTTAGTATTTCCATACAAAATACTGTCTTAACATCTTAATTTTACTTGGTTTTAGTGACTGGAGTGACAGTGTACAATGCCAACCCAGGAGGAGTGAGAACAAAGATGAGTGATGAATTTGCCTCAATGATCTTTCCTGGAGTCTTATGGCTGTACAGGAAGATTCAGTGGTTGGTCCTACATTCCCCAGTCTACGGAGCGGCAACGACCATACAGTGTGCATTGGGCGAATCAGAGGGGCGGCAAACTGGACTGTACTATACGTGAGTTGTTTGTAATACATCCAATAAAAAAAAGTTGCTAGTTTTTTTGAGACTGGACTTGGCTTTCCTTACTAATGGTTTGTTGTAAATTATTAGATTAACCAAAAATCAGGCTATAGGTGACATAGGTAAATTGAAGGTGTTCAATTAATCCTACGTAGAAGCTACTCAATTGCAATATAAATTAATGGTTTTTAACATCAGTAAAACATCCATATGTCTATACCATATAATTTTACTTATTTTCCTTCATATTCGTAAATTATTATCAGGTTTTTTTATAAGAAATTTGTTGATTTGGAAAAAAATACCGACGCATCGAGCTGACTAGACTGCTTTAAAAAGCTTTTGAAATACTTTAAAATGATTATCAAATTTCAAAAGATAAAATAACAAAACATTTGTGTGGTTTAAACAGTTTCTTGAGCGTGTGTTTTGGATGTTTGTTACAGAGACTGTAAAGTTGCAGTACCTCCAAAATCCACAAAAAATGAAAAGAAAGCCAAACAACTGTGGGATATCAGCATAAGACTGACACAGCTTGTAAACAAAAACAGAAGTGATGATGATTTCTTTTATCCAGACTAAATTATAGGTTGAAAAATGTATACACTTTAATTATTTATATAAATAAATGACGATGTCTCCTTTGAGTAAATTACTCCTTACCTTGCAAATTATAAATAAATACTTAAACTGTTCAATACTTGGTGAAAAAAATGTCAAGACCCCCCATCTAATATTTTTCTTAGTAAATATAAAGAGATAATCTTTTGGTGGTCATGGCATCTTAGCAGGAAGTTTCATTTCATGATTTTGAAAACTTTGAGTGTCCCCCCA